GGTACACTGCATGGTCGTGAGGGGTTGGACGACTGGCGGGGAGACACGGAACAGGGCAATGCTGCCTTGGCAATGTCGGCCTCCCCTCAAAGCCCTCCCGCCTCAGGCAGCCGATTTCATGCCCTTTGCTTGGGGGCAGGTCCTGTGCCCTTTTTCCCTTGCTCAGTCCCGCCCTGATCGCCGGAACCTTATTCGCGTGGGACCATGGCAGCATTCTCACAAATGCACGGTGTCCTGCCGTGCTCCATGCGCTGCCAGCCTCCCACAACTCATGTCCCCCCTCTCCACTCGCCGTCGCACACAGCTGTTCCTGTGGGAGTTTGGGGGGCTGACCTCCCCCGGCGATACGCACGCCAGCAGCCTGCCGCGCGGCAAGGGGCCCGTGTCTGTGCTGCGCACGCGCCGCTCGCTGCGCGCCTGCGCCTTCCACCCGCGCAGCCCCAACCTGCTGCTCAGCGCGGAGGTGCAGGACTCGTCGGCGCCGGAGGACCTGACCCCGGCGCACGCCGCGCTCCGACCCTTTGCCGTGCGCGGCGTCCTGGGCGCCTCCTCCTCCGGCCGGGGGCCTCACCCTCCCGATGCGCCGCGGCGGCCGGGCGGCGTGGCGGGCAAGCTGGGGCCGGCCCTCACGCCCGGCCCCGCCGCGCCGCCGCTCGCGGCACCGCGCCCGCCCCGCCACCTGGGCTTCGTGGTCCCCGGCGCGTCCGCAGCGCCGCCCGACCAGCCGCGCACGCCCGACGCGGGCCCCGGCCCGGCCCCGCCCCTGCTGAACCCTGCGGGCAGCGCGGACCTGCTGTCCCCGCTGGCGCACCTGGCACTGGAGGGCGCCGCCGAGATGGCGGGCCCCTCCGGCGCGGCGCCGGCGGCCGCGCGCGCGGAGGAAGCGCCCGGAGGAGCGGGCGAGGCCGGCGCGGCGGCGCGGGCCGCGCTGGCGGCGGGCTGGGTCCCCCCCGGCTCCTCGGCGCTGCCGCCGTCCATGGTGCCCACGGGGTGGGAGGTGCCCTTCGGCGCGGCGCACCCGCCGGACGACGCCGCCGCCGCGGGGCGCGTGGGCGTGGACGAGTCGCTGGCCCCGCTGCCCCAGATCATGGCCGTCTTCTCCGCGGTGGCCTGGAACATCGTGGGCGAGGAGCAGCCGGCGCGCGTGACGCTGCGCCTCTGGTCCTTCGACCCCGCTCGCCCCACGGCCTCGCTGGAGGACCTGCGCCTGCAGGTCCCCGACGCCGTGCTGTGCTCGGAGATGGGCGTCTCCTTCTCGCCCTGCGGCCGGTACCTGGCCGCCGCGGTGGCCTGCCGCGCGGGGACGCGGCGCGGGGCCCCCG